ATGTCCCATTTATATCAAAAATAAATTGTACTACATAAAAAACTATATTATTTTACAATAATACAAAGCAGACCACAATAATTTTTTGATTTCTTTCTATTTTTATTTTCCACAATATTTATCCTTCCCAGGGGATATATATCATTTTATGTGCTTCTAATTCCTTACAATGTCAGATAGGTTAATCAATATAAATACTGACAGTTATTGATCATTAGCTACTCAGCAGCTTCTTAACCCTTAAATCACTACAGCAATGCTGTCATAAAATATAGATTATTTATCATTACTCTTTTATGTGTACTATAGTTGTCATATCATTAATATTAGCCTCTTATCTTTGCCATCTGGATGAGAAAAAAGCCTTATCCTTTTTGTTAGGAATTAAAAATATGTAATTTCCTTATCAGCTAACACTGATATAACACAGCTATCATTTTTTGCTTCTCATTGTCTAATTTAATTAGAAAGATGTAGTAAACGGTACACACTACAGCACTGACATTCTGTTATAGATGCCTTGGTTTACATTTCAAAAAATAATTCTTTCATCCTGATTGTCTTGTAGTATTTAATAAAACCGGTTCTCTTGACACAAGAAAAGTACTCTATACTCTGTATGGGTGATAGGAACATTAGTGGATATGATGTTGCTTGGTAAAGGAAGAGGTGGAATATGAAACATTGTTGAAGTGTCTTTTAAAAAACAAAATGATAATTTTGATAACTCCTAGTACCAGATGAGCCTCAGAAGGTACATTTAAACTCAGATTAGCATCCAAAAGTTCAGATACTTCTCTGAATCTTAGCCAGTCTATTCAAACATAACGATCAAGAAAATTAGGCCCCAAATCCCGCGGTGCTATCTGCTTGGGTAGACACTTACACATGCACAGAGACCTACTGAGATCAGAGGGGTTCCTCACAGGCTCGAGGGTCTGTCCGCATGCATCTTATTACAGGATAGCTTTCCTCATGAATTATGCAGCACTTCCTCCTTACCAACAAACAGAGAAAACAGCTCTTTTACAACATATTTCTTGTCACCACAGCTAGGCCTGGAAAAAGAATAGCATAGAGAGAGAGTTTCAAATCAAGAAGGCAGCATAGATTTGCACCGTATAAACTAACTAAAACAGAACACTTTAACCTCCCTGGATACTCCATCACTCACCTCAGGGTAGCTGTTCTTAGATAGCAAACCTGTAAAACAATTATTTGAACAGGAAATTGTGGAACAGGAAATCATCCACAGACTGGATTGTACTAAGCATTGTTTAAACAGGGACTATAGATTCTTATCCCTTTACCAGGATTAGTTTTTGTGACCCATTTGTTCCTATAGGTTCTTTCCTTGCATGCCTTTCCCAGTAGTGTTTCTCACCCCTCCTCTCTTCCCCTTCTCCCCCTCTCTTCCTACCTTTTGTCTTCAAAACATTCTCTCCATTCTGCACATTGCTATGTACATTTCACTTCCTTTCACAGCTTCTGATGAAGTCAGGTCCAGCTCATGAGAGCTTATGCTATATATATCTAAATTAGTTAGTCTATAGCGTGCAAATCTACCTGCCTTCTAATAGAATAACATACAAACATGAAAATAATGGGAGCTAAAAGACTTAACTAAACCTTTTCAAATTTCAAAAAAAGTTTGACAAAAAATAAAAGTAAGAGTAAAGCTTAATGTAGTTCTAGCAGTTCGTTCATCCTTAGTGAGTACAAGGTCTCAAAAATCTGTATGTGAAAAACAATGTATTTCATATATTCCTGTGTACAACAGGAGAAGGAAAATTACATACAAAAATATGATAAACTACTGACTGGAAAATTGCAGAAATAGCTTTCCCGTCCCTCAATCTTCATGTATTGCTATAAAAGGAAACAAGTTTCATATTCCAGTATGATAAGAATGATGACAATTTTAAATATCTGTGTTTGTGTAGAAATTCAAAATTAATCAAATGCTGATGCCTAAGGGCGAAAGAGAATATAATGTAGCACAGACAATGTCAAAGAAACAGGAACAGCCATGGATCAAGTTTCTGATAAAAGAAAAAATAATCCTCAGAAATTCTCATAATTTTTCATGTTAGTTTCATATCTGTGTACAGCAGTACAGTGCAAAGACCTGTTATACATTGGGTATATGATCTACTGTGAATTTTCTTTCTCAATGGAAAATAAGTGTAATTTCAGCATTCCATCCCTGGTCATTATGTGATATGGAGATTAAAAAAGAAAAGCAAGCAAACTTCTACAATAAGACTCTCATTTAAAAGATTAACTCTAATATAAAATTACTTTATCTTGTCTTGCAACTATCAGGAAACTCATTAAGTTTACAGCAGTCACTTTGGATGGAAATTACTTCTCTCCCCTGAAGAGACTGTTAACTGTAGTCACGTATTTCATGGTCCATGATTATATGAACTTGTCCTGTTTCAGCAAAGAGCTCAAAATCTGTACAACATTAACTCATTGACAAGGCCTAAACATGGACTCTTTGCTTTCTGCCTTCTATTTCTTACAGAGAGGCTGACAATAAAGGTTTGCCTTGCTAATGGAGCATTAGATTAAGTGGACTGGTATATTTGTTGACTGGATTTTGGCAAATAAGTAGAAGAAGTAATTGCTATCATAAGCACAGCAACAAATCCACTTTACATTTTAATTTAATGTGTTTGTATGGGTTTTTAATCCTTAGAACTCTTACACCCTACTGTAGCTAGCTGTAAATGTGAATCATAAAGTGTTTTCCTAATTGTGTGTCATCAGCATTTTTTCAGCTTTGGGAAAAATGTTTTGAATAGGTTGATTCATTTGGAAATATTACTGTTAATATTTTGTGAGATGATCAACTACTATATTTCCTAGAAAGAATAGTGAAACACTATTACTCTTATAAAACTGCTTAAATAAGAAGCCTAGTAAATTTAAGTAATCATTGCAATAAAGGGAGGCCATATATATAATAAATAAATGTACACACTTGTAAGCATTTTTAGAAATTGATATGATCCAATGTTTGCTTTTAGTTTTCACAAATAACTTACCTGTCAAATCTAAGAGCAAACAAGTCGCTTATACTCATGTTTTTCTTTAAGAGACTATCACCAATAGGTGAATAATGTAATGCTTTCACTGATGGGATAAAATCATTAAACTGGATAAGCTAGAGGCATTTATTTACTTATTCTTTGACAAGATCACTTGCTTCATGTTGCACAACTTCCCATAGGAATTGCTTTTTGTTTAAAAAATTCTTTAGATCTTGTTGCATTACAAAAAGCTGAGCTCTGTTACATTGTCATTTGGAATGAATTCCTACATGGGATAAATCTAATTTTTAAAGATCAAGTTACATGTTTCTCATGAGGGTCAACTTATCGTATTATGGGTTTTGACTTCATTAAGGGCTGTCTTAAAAGGTCTGTGTGAACCCAGGAATCACTATACACTAGAAAATGTCATTTATGGATTTTCAATTAGAAGTGGAATAATAAATGCAGGTATTCAATTTACTCTGAAAAGTTTACTGGGGATGTTTTCAAGCAAGACCCATTGGATGGATGATGAGATGCCAAGGAAATCCACAGACTATTGACTCTAACACTGCTTTAGATAAGACTTTTGATTTTTCAGTTACCATGCCACATACATCTGCCTCCAACAGGGTTAGATGACAGGGCATGTCTACACATGCTTTTACTCCAGCTTAAATTTACTCCACAGCAAATTACTGCACAGTAAGAGGGAATAGGCCAGCATTTACATGTGCAGTCGTTAAAGCGCATTAACATTGTGTGTGGACTGACTTGGAACTAAAGTTAGTCCCAAGTCAGTCTACAGACAGTTTTACTGTGCAGTAAGGTATCTACACACGCATTACTGCACAGTAACTAAGCAGGCATAAATTTGATACCTCTATGATACAGGTATCATATTTATGCTCAAGTCAGCGTAAGTCACTATATTTAGTGCACAGTATAGGTCTGTACGTGTACTTGCGCGCCTGTACTGTACAGTAATTTTGGTTACTGTGCAGTAAATGCACACATGTAGATGTGCCCACGATACATAGACCTGCATTTATATTACAGCTGTCACTTTTGCTACCAATGTTAGAGCAACTTCATAATGAAACAGTGGGCCATTTGGAACCAAAGTACCTCTTTAAATATGTTCAAAAATCCAAAGGCAGCAATAACCCCTTTTTATTGTGACAACATTATGACGCACTAACCAGTGGCTCTACCAAATGGAATTTCCAGCCAGATTGCTTCTTACCTGACTTCCAAACTTATGTGTAGAGTTACTGAAGAATTTTTCACAGTGCTGGAATTTGTGTGTGTAAGGGAATGATTCACAGTTCTAATTTTATATTCATCTTGGTATGCTAGACTGATATTGCATTGAGTATCTTTTATATTTCAGTGGGACAAAATCTTCTTATTTTTTGTTCTTTGTCCCTGGTTGCATTTCCTTGGCATGCCTTTTAATAGTTGCAGATACCATGTGTTTCATGGCTCAATTTTGTGACTTCCCAGATTACTGAAATTAAAATATGTCCAGAATTGATTTCTGTTTGGATTGTATGCCTTCCTATGGTATTTTTTCCAGACCTCTACTTCAGGCTTAGAAAGGAAAATACCTAGGTAAGGGCTGACGTTGTGAATCCTGTACTGTGTGAAGTACAGTGGGCACACTAAAAATGAATTTTAGTTTTAGAAATATTACTGATTCAATAAAGTCACTTAAAATGGGGAATTCCAGTAGAATCAACAGTACTTATATAACTGGAATGAACATTTTCTACCAGTACTTTAATATCAAGAAGGTATTTTACAGGTAGTCTGAGAATGTGATGTTTCCTGATGACAGGGTAAAGGGTTTGGAGTCAGATACAAAGCTGATGTAAATTAGCATAGCTCAATTGACTTTAATGATCTTCACCCTAATATATGGCCTTTTCCCCCCAGTCCTGGAAGACAAAGATATAAGATCATGACACGTATATAAAAAAGGATTTTTAGATAATATATAAAATGTATATGAAAGCTATTTCAGACCATTTGATCACTTTCTAAAATTCAATAGTTGTCACTTTTATCTTCCTTCAAAGCTTCTGCAGCTGAATTCATATTACTAAAACAGCCTGGTGTTATGGATAGGTGCATATATATTGAATCATATAATGAGCCCATTTCTTAGAAAATCTGCACAAGTAAAACCTCCCTGTCTTTCACATATGAGAGAAGTATCTACTTGGCCAGGTACAAACTGGCACTGCACCACCAATTCAGTTTACATCAACTAAGGATTCAGCCCAATACCTTCACTCATTTGTCCATCTTGTCTGACACTAGCCTTTGATTTCTACTTCTTTTCTCAAGACTTGTTCTGTACAATAAAATGAATGACAAGTAGCAATAGACCAAGAGATACATTTCAGCAGTACAATGCATCTGCCTAACAAATGTCTTGCACAGCTTATTTGATGCTGATATTTTGCTTCAGGAATTTAGATATCTGATAAGTAATTATTGAGGGAGAGAAGAATTGATCATTCATTGCAGCTAATATTGCTACATATCTGGAGACGCAATTGCTTTCAAAGGCTATTAAAAGAATGAAAGGAACATGAACTTGTAGAAAAGGATTTAGATACTCTGACAAATGGGTGTATGTGAATACATGCACACACGCATATAGGTAAGAGGAGGAAACAGGGAAGGAATAATCTATTTTTATTTGATTAATTATGAATATACACTACATACACACATGCAAAAAATTACATAGTGTCCAGTTATTTGCCCATATGTTTATCTGGCACGTCTGGGAGCCAGCAGGCATTTCTCAAAATGGGCTTAAGATACAAGCATACCTTGCCAGTTCTCAACCCCTAAAGATCCCATACAAATTAATCATTCTTTTGGCTGAATACTTAAAGCAGATTGAACCATTTCTTAACATGCAATCAAACCAGACACTTGTAGACCTAATTACAAGTGACAGCTCAAGCCAGAACTTCAGTGCTGGCTCACTTCACTCTTTCATCTATGCTGCCTCAGGGATTAGAATTTAAACGCCTCTGTCACTGGGGAAATTACATGGTTAAACTAGCTTTCATAAGGAAATCAATTACTTTTCAGATTTTTAAGTTTATTTTTACATCCCAGAGCAGTCTTCAGGCCTTTATATTAAAATGACACATATACTGCACTAGTGCATCATTCTTTCATTTTTCATCTTCCTAGGGGCCTTCTTCATATTCTTTTAATCTTGCCCAGCTATAAACTACTTTTAATAGCTGTTGGGGGTCATCTTCTGTATTGCAATTTACTTTGATATGTCTGATAAAGAAAGACTTATAATTATTTATAAATATATTGTATATGTGTTTTAATGTATATACATATATTATATTGTAGAGCTCAGGAGATTTTTTTCCTGATCAGATTTATATTTTCAGTTCCAATTTATCCCATCTAATAAGACAACTTATAGTAGCAGTCGTGTTGACAGAAAAAGTAATAGCTTTACAAAAACAGTAACCTGTTGCCATATATTGCTATACAGAAAAATGGATGTGCTGGTTTGGGGCACATCTTTTTATTGAACGACTACAGTTCATGATGGAACATACGTGTGAAAAAAGCGCATCCCTAATTGCCAAATGCTCTGATAAAGAGGACCAATTAATCTTTGTCTCTTGGAAATGAGGGTAGGAATTAACTCCTGGAAACTAGGGTGAAGGCAAAGTTGAAATAAAACTTACATTATTAAAGTTCTTTGCAACTATCTTTTCATACTCTGTGCAAATTACTTTGCACTCATGTCAGCCCATGACTTAATACAATTGCTGGAACCTAGTATGTTACTAACACAGAGGAAAGCTAAAAACCATAAATTATCCTGGCAGTGACTATTATCTAAACCTGAATGACTTGGTTGCATTTATATTAGCTCATCTCTGCTTGTTGTTATCTTTGGGGAATTTCACCTTAATGTGACTTGAGTGGGCAAGCTAACTCTCCAGCAAGCCCAGATATAGCCTTGCCATACTGGAACTGCTGGAACAGGCTGCTAATGTACAAAGAGATAAGAATTTAGAGAAGTTTATAATCTGGTGCATAGCCGGATCTAAATATAACCTATGTATACTGTCAACATAGATCACTAGAGAACTCCAAATTAATTGCTATAAAAGTCTCAGCCTTTGCATGATGTATTCTGACTATACTGATACTTACAACTTGCTCTTTTCTGGACTTTGTTATGCCACAAATTACAACTGTTTTTGCACAGTCCAGACAAAGTTCTTTGGGTAAATTGAATATCTTTTATTAGACTATTTTTATTGGTCTAATGAAAGATATCCGATTTACCCAAAGAACCTTATCAACCTATGTTCTTAGACCAACATGGCTACAACCAATACCTTTGCACAGTCAACACACGTATGCCACATTCTGATGCACAGAACCTGCACGATCATTAAACGGTTCATATTTCCCAGCTTCCACTGTTATCAAAGGAATCTAAAAATATTAAAAATTTTAAAAACCATCAAATCTGTTGTCAGATTCTTTCACTGTAAACTTCAAAATTTACCCAAACAAATTTAAATAGAATAAAGTCATTATAACATTGAAATATAAAACCCAAGATTCCTTGGAATTCTTGATGTAATACTATTATTGGATAAAGAACAGACCATTGGTTTGAAATATTTACTCAGATACAGTATAATCTACAAGCAAAATGTATTTTATTTGCATAATGTCATAGCAATCAGGACCTATGCCAATAGAATTTGCCTAAGGTGATGAATTCCATTTCTGTAATTCCTGGCAGGGTCCATCCAAAACATACCAGGTTGCAATCACCTGCCTGCAGACTGGACAGTGAATTGCTGAAAGGTGAGGTGACCTGATTTCCTGTGGCCCCCCTCTCAAACACTCTCCACACACACAGCCATAATGCAGTCCATACCTGGTGTGGAATGCTTTGCACTGTCTCTGCAAATTAAGGGACATTTTAACTAAAATTCCCCTGACCCATAGGCTAAATTGGGGTAATGTATTTTTAGTTAATGATTTGCTTAGGGTAGATTAATATTCATTTAATAAAGAGATGGTTCCAAGACAGGGGTTTTATATTGTCTATTGTGACTGCTGGGTTTCGAATAGCCGCTCTCGGATGGCTTTCTCTCTGGTGGTAGATATCAAGTGCCTTACGGACTTGTGTTGTCACCCGAGTAGATGTCTTCTCCCCGAGTCTCCAACCCCATACTCGCCTGCCATGACTTGTTGTTCCTTAGTGTGCGGGGTTGTTCGTCGAGTGCGCTCGGTGGCCCATAGTTCACCCGGCAGTCACTCACAGGGCTCCTCCACCACTACACCCTGGCCTCATGCCTCCTTCAGTGTTGCATTCGTCTGTTGGCCTTTTCCCTCTTATGGGGTAACACCTCCCGGCTTAGTGTTTGGGTGTCCGCAGCCTATTGCCACACTCACCTGTATGGGCCTGCCCTTCCGCCGTCTTTGCCTTCGCCTCTCCTTCGGGGAAAATACCAAAAAAAAAGGAACAGTAAACCCTCTTTCTTACTTTCCTACAGCCTTCCTCCTCGAGGGACCTGCACTCTTCCCCTATGCCCCTTCATCCAGGGTAACTAAATAGTCAACCAAAAAAATACGGGGCAACCCAACACTCCCTGTTTACTTTCTATCATTCCCTGGGCTCTAACTGTGTGAGTTACTTTCCTCCTTACCCGACACCTTTGGTATTCCCTCTTGTAGGCTCATCAATCCAGTTGGGGTCTGGCGGTGATACCCACCACGATGGTAAACCCCTTCCGGCTCTCCTGGGGTCTTCTTCCCCCTGACATGGCTTCCTCTGCATTCCGTCATCCCCACACTCCCACCTGGGGTCAGTTCTGTCTTCAGGTGCCGCTCCAGTGATTCTTCCGGCGGGTGTGCCTGTGGCTCCTGTGCTGTTCTGTGAGGGCTCCCGCCAGGTTGTTCCGTCTGGTCCTGTCAGCTTCTGTCCCTGCTTGTCCGGCTCCGTGGGTCCCGTGGGGAGAGTCCCTTTTGTAGCCGGCGTCGGCTGCAGCTCCTTCCCTGTGCCATCTGCCCCGTCCACAGCATCAGCCACCATTTTTATCCCTGCTGGCCAGCGTCTGATGCTGACGTCACCAGCCAGCCGTAAATGAATAAAAAGGCAGCTGACGAGCTGTGCAGGCTCTTTCTTCCACCCCTCGCACACTGTGTCCCGAGCTGCCAGTAAGTATCTCTCATTACTCCTGGGACATAACCACCCCTGCCAGCTGCCTTGTGGCAGTTCCGTGGGCTGCGTGCCCCTGTTACCTGCGATCATATGTGAGGTGCGATGCCTTGACCAACCGTCGTCTTGTCCCACGCCCTCGTCATATCTAGACAAGAAGTCAGTCATTATGTTGTCTTTTCCAGGGCAGTACACGATATGAAATTTGAAGGGTTGTAATGCCAACGCCCACCGCATTATCCACACATTATCGGTTTTGGTGGAGCTGAGCCATTTCAGGGGTGCATGGTCAGTGATGAGCGTAAACTCCCTCCCGAGCAAGTAATAACGGAAGTGCTCCACCGCCCACCAAATAGGCATTCCCATTTGACTGTCACGTACCTAGTTTCAGTGCGTAGGCCACAGGCTGGTCCAAGCCCACATCTCGTTGGGTAAGTACCGCCCCAATAGCAGCGTCAGAGAAGTCTGTCTGTAATGTAAAAGGTTTATTAAAATCAGGGGTGTGTATAATCACATCCTCGCATAGAGCCCTTTTTAAGGCCTGAAAGCTCTGGAACTTCACTCCCGTCCACTTGACCCCTTTAGGGCCTCTGATAGGTGTGACGCTATGTTCGAAAACTGTGGCCTGAATCTATGATAGTAATTTACCAGGCCCAGAAATGATTGTAGCTGCTTGAGTGTTTGTGGGGCCTGGAAAGAGTGAATGGCTTTGACCTTATCCTCCAATGGCTGGATGGTCCCCTGCCCTATGAGGAACCCTAGGAACTTTGTGTTCATGTGTGCGATCGTACACTTGTGGGGGGTCGCGATCAGACCTGTCCTCTTTAGCTCAGTCAACATGGCTCTAAGGGTACATAGATGCTGGCCCCATGACTGGGTAAATACGATGATGTCGTCAATGTATGCCATGGCGTATTCTGCATGTGGTGCCAGAATGCACTCCATTAGCCGCTGGAAGGTGGCCGCAGCCCCGTTCAGTCCGAATGGCATCTTCACGAATTCTTATAGACCCCAGGGAATTCCACAGGCCATCTTGGGGCAGTCACATGGTCATACGGGAATCTGCCAATATCCCTCGGCCAGGTCTAATGTGGTTATGAACCAGGATGCCCCGATCCATTCCACTAATTCCATTACACACAGCATGGGGAAGGTGTCAAATGTACCTATTTTATTCAACCGGCGATAATCTAAACAGAGCCTTAGGGTTCCATCTGGTTTTCGTACCAGTACAAGGGAACTTCGCCATGGGCTTCGAGATGGCTTAATGACACCTAGTGCCTGCATCTTCCCCACCTCCTGACTTACCTCTTCTGTTAAATGATGGGCTATCGGCCACCATTGATCACGCACTATTGCGCATGGAGGTGTATG